TCAACGACCTCGGCGAGGTGGCGTGGGTCAATCAGTTCCACGCCATGCGCGCAACGCCGTGCGCATACTTCTCCATCGTCATCCTCGACAAGGCGAGCGACAAGATCATCGGAGTTGGCACCGTCTTCATCGAACGCAAGTTCCTCCGTGGTCTTGGCAGCGTCGGCCACGTCGAGGATATCGCCGTCGACAAAAACTACCAGGGCAAGAAGCTTGGCCTCCGTATCATTCAGGCTCTCACGCATATCAGTGAGAGCAGCGGCTGTTATAAAACCATCTTGAACTGTAATGATACTAACATTCGTAAGTTGCTTCGCTCCATGGACTTTCGCTTATACTGAGCAACATCCCACAGCCTTTTACGAAAAGTGTGGCTATGTCAAGAAGGAGAACGAGATGGTATTTTTCAAACACTTCTCATAGCCTTTTCTAACGGAATGCATAGGCAAAGTACGCCCCAGAGCGTGTCAATAACGCACCAAAACTTTGATTTGCCATCTCATCTATTGGACTACACTAGTATATACCATCGTCATCAATTGCCCGTATTCTAGATCTTCCTGCGGACATCCTGTACGGATACCTTGCACATACCTGTATCATTGGTTTTATTGCCAACATATTTGATTAACAGCTCTACCTCGAGAGCTAATTGAGCATCGAAATGCATGAGATCTACGTCACATCCTCAGAATTAGCAGGAGCGGATATACCATGTGGAAGCATGTAGCATAGATTTTGCGCGCGAGAAGTCATGACGAAAAGGATGTGCGATACATAGGCATATGCCAACAACAAAAGAACTGCTCATCGGCCACCCTTGCCACCCTTCATTTGCTGCTTTGATACCCTGGGTCCACTCGCAACAGGCGCACGTGCAGGCTACACCGGCGTAAGTCGTACGTACCCCTTGAACATTCGAGTACATACCTTGGCCTTTTTCGACTCCTTCTCTTTCTTCTCAGTCTTGGCCTTTGCAATGGCCGAAATTCTCTGCTGGTTGCGGACAGCAGCGGTCTGGTTGCGCCTGGCAGCGATAGTAGCAAGGTCAGCACCAACGATACCACGTTGGTGCTTCACAGTCCGGCGGGAACGTTTCTTAGCGACTTCCTCGGTGATACCCTTCTTGTGCATGCGGCGGTAGACCTGTGTCCATGCGATCTTACGTGGGTTCTTGCGCTGGAGGAACAGGGAAGAGTTCTTGGAACTAGCGAATCGGAAAACCTATATGGCAAGGGGTGTTCAGGCAGGAAGCTTGGAAGTGGAGGAGACGAGCTGACTTTGGAGTCTCCACGGACAAAGAGTTTGCCCTTGGAGGGGTACACACGGAAACCGGAGAACGCGTCGATTTCGACCTTCTACTCAATCACATCGAACGATTTAGATTTCAGCAATGGGTGTATATGCAGCAGAGACGCACCATCTATAGAACCAGCGCGCACGACGGGAGTAAGTCAGTCTGCATCCTTTCCAAAGCTCATGTGAATATGCGACAAGCCAGAAACGTCATCCGTTATCAATCTGATTCATCCACCACTCCTACAGCCTATCTTTGGCTGGAATTCGCCCCAACTTCGCGCATGAACAGAACGGATGCATTCCTGGTGTTTGGCGAAGAGAAGTGGCATGGATTCTTGCTTACCTTGACGGAATTGCCGGGGCTTGCTGATTTGGTGGTGCCTTCGAGGACGGGGTAGATTCGATGGGTAGCGGGGATTCAACTTCGGCTTGTGCCGTGACCAAATTAGGTAATTCCGAAAATATCAATTACTACGGAAACCACGCAGTCGAACCAAAGCTGGAGAGCCTCGGCTCTGTTGTGACGGCGACCGAGCCTGCGATGCGAATTATCACTATCCAGGACTTACGATTAATATATGTAATATGGTGTCGAGTCTAAATTCGGAGCACAGTACATAGTTCAAACGTCATTATAGATGGGCTTGAGTGCCCCGGATTTCGTTCTCTCGTATAGCACTGCTGCCTTTTGAACCAACACTTCCACGTCCTACAGCTACGAACATGAGGACAAAGTTGGAGGATTGGCATGTTAAATATTATGATGCAATACTCAGAGCTTGAATTGATTGTCCTGTAAATATCATTGACGCAAGCGCGACAAGCCAGTACTCGTAGTGTGTTCGAAAGGGCGCACAGAGGGGTATAAAACTAAAACAAGAAAGTGTCACAAAGCGGTTACACGTCACTTGTGCGTGCGAATACCGCTGCCTCCCCACTTGCCTCAGCAACGCCTCTACGCAGTCACTCCAGTCACTCTTCAAGTAGCTCCGCCCTCCAAATCTCACTTCCAACGTGTGTTCCATTTGCTGAGACCACACTAATCTGCTGCTGATTCCACTATTGAACATCATCGTTTCAGAGCCCTTTTAGCGTCCTTTTATAGTCATGTTCGTTTGTTCTCCGAAATGGCGCAGGCGCCGTAGTTCATCTGTATTTATCCCTATCATAGGTCCGAACCTTACGACCCTTACCTCCCCCGCAATGGCTCCTCATCCAATCCCGCTGGCGGGTCAAGTCAAGGTGGAAACCCTAAAACCGCAGCTATTCAGCAACAAATTGACGACACCGTCGGCATTATGAGGGAGAACATCACAAAGGTCGCAGAACGTGGAGAAAGATTGGACTCATTACAGGATAAGACAGGTGCTTGATTTCGCGCTCTCGTGTATTTGAGCAAAGTTTCAAATCAAGCTATTTCCCTAGACAACCTTGCTGTTTCGGCACAGGGCTTCCGTCGTGGTGCTAACCGAGTACGGAAGGTGAGTTTGACTTGACTTCTTTACGTTGATTTAATACTAAAGCATATTCAACAGAACATGTGGTGAGTGTGATATATCCTTTTTAGTGGGACCAAGATTCATCGAACTCTCAATTTCTCAGGTGGAAAGACATGAAGGTCCGTTGGACTCGCCGCTCAGCATCACGTTCAAAACTGACCCCATCTTTAGATGCGCATGATCATTGGCGTCGCAGTGGCAATCATCATAATTATCATCGTAGTCAGCATTGTGAAGGCAACGCATCACTAGGCAGTACGTGGGTTCCACACCTACACTACTCATCCTTACTACCACTGGTCTATTGGTTGTTGTATCTATGCACCGTATCGTTAATTCTTCTGCTTGTTCTCTGTTTTACATTTTGTTGGCTGCCATTCACCTACATTCTCCAGTAGGGCCCTAGTGGGCGAATTGTGGACCCCGATACATAGCTTTCGCTTTGTTAAATTGTCATTCGTGTTGTGCTTTTGGATGATCCACGTAATGCTTGATCTGGGCTACTAAGTGCACAGGCTCCATTCTGTTCTCCAGAGTCGAATTCCAAAATCAAGTTTCAAGACCCCTCGTGGGATATGTACACCACCCCCCGGATGAGTTGAAGATACGATCAGGCACATGAAATAAATGCAACACTTATCTTTACCACATGCATAGTACCGCTAGCCATGGAGTTCTGTTATGAAGGCCTGAAGCTTGGAGGCCTGACTCCGATACATGTATGGCTGTCACTGAGATAAGTGTGTTGTTGGAGTATCGTTATTTATTTATTTACTATTTTCTAGGACTGTAAGACGTGCACTTGCCATAATCAGACTGAGCAGTGCAACATGTGTGGCATTGGCGGTTAGTGTATCTTCTACCAATCCCACGAAATGCTTCTCCCGCAGCCTTACTATTCTGTAAGTATTTCGACGTTTACATCTGTAACGTTAAGATATCTTTACAGCTCAATCATCGTCGACTTAGGACAGAATCCGTAGCAGAACAGGCGGTCGAACCTCCGCCTTTTCTTCTGCTGTGCGATTATTTTTAACCTTTGGATTTGGATTGATAGCTCAAGACAGTGGTTGATCTCTAGAGCATTTATAATGATCATGGAACTATGGAACTTTCTTTTGGAATATCCAGATCAGATACATACGGTAGGCAAATTGACTGTTTGTCGCGCTCTTCACGTGCAGTGCCAACCCGGCGGCCTGCCGAAGTGCTATATTTGCACAGCAAGGAACGCCAAATTAACTGGATGGATGTCTACAGGATTTTTACAGGATTTTTTTTGGCGATGCTGGGAACTTAGGGAGCTTAAAAGTGTGACACACATTATGATTTCCTGTTCCCACCTTTTTGACTTTTTCCTGTGTAAGCCAGAGAGACACTGATGATGTCGACACACAAGGGTATGTTCCATTTGTCTGCCTGCATCTTGTGCTTGATTATTAAGGTATCGTTGAACAGAAAGTACACATGACTCCGACGGAATGAAGGCATAGGCCGAGTCACAATGTCAGCAGCACGTAACCATTAGGTTGGCCTTCGGTAGCTGAGCATCCCTCGGAGGCAAAGGCCTCATAACGATGGCGGGTTTTGCTATGTTCTTCTCGGGCTCTCGAGGTTCCGATGGAAGGTTGCGATGTGGAATACTTCGGCCTCCTTATCGCTGTTGTGAGCGCTAATTGTATTATAAGCGTTGTTGATATACACTTTATTTCTCGCGCTCCCGTTTTCCTTTTCTATCAGGCACGGCTCGCCACATTCACCGACTGGCCTCACTGATGGCTGTTTACAACCAAGACAGATCAAAACATGATGTTCATAGTTAGAAGGTCATGGTCGAGCTTGCCAACCGCGTGGGAGTCGAGGCCAAGGCCAGGGCTAAACTTTGAAAAGTAGCTTCAGGCATCACCCGGGGTTAGTCCAACATGACACCACCGAAATGAATCTCATCTTGACAGTCAGTCTCTGGCCTTTTGTCGTCCGCGGTACTTTGTCATTCGCCGTTCCGCCCCAAAGGACTACTGGCGGGGTAGCTTTGATGATCAATTTTCATCTCTTTCCGTTCTTGTCCTAGCTGGCCTTGCATGCCACCGGTTCTTGGCCTGCGGACAACCTTTGGTTCTTTGCCTACATGCTACCTTTACTTGTCGGCCTTCATGGTCATTTCTGCCAGTCTATGCCACTACATAAATCTCAGAACTATGTCCGCGACACTTCCTAAGTTTCGAAACCATATCCTTGAGTCCCTCTTACCCAGCGGATCGCAGAATGAATTATAACTACTGGTGCGCCCGTACTCCTACGTTTCTTTTTGGTATTGATCCCCTGCATAGGCATGAGGATTCGGATCTATACAGGGCATTGCGTCCAGAATGGCCAAGATTGGTCGATAATGTGTGTTTCGCCTGTGCTTGTAACAGCAATGTACTAATATTTCGCTGTAGGGCCTGTCGTCCTCTCAGCCTCAACAGAACTGCCTGCCTTCGGTTCCAGAGAATCCCCCGCCCATGGTTACTCAGCATCACCAGCCACCCCCCATTGAGGGTCTCCCTCACCCTGTCCATGACAGCCCATCAGAATCACATACATCTAGCCGCTTGTTTGTCTGCAAGTGGAATGATGGTCACGGTCCATGCGACACGACCACCGCAAGTGTAGAAGAGCTCGTGAACCATTTGTCGTCATCCCATCTTCCACCACCTGGTCCCATCACTTTGAAATGCAAATGGCAGGGGTGTAGACTCCAAAAGCTCATTTGCCGAAATACAATCCTTCGGCACATCCGTCAGATTGATCTCGGAATCAGTCCTCGACGCCAATAGTAGGTTACTTCGAGTCGTATTATGGGTAAACTCTGTCTACATCCATAGCCGTATTAATTACGATTGCATCGACTACCGTTCAATATTTGTTTCCCCTTGAGACCTTTGTTATGTTTCCCTTTTATATTCATGTTACTTCATGCCTTCGTCCTTAAAAATGTATCTTAATCGATTATATGTCCGTCCGGTGCCGTCATTCTCGAGATTCTCAGTAATTTCAATCGTGTTCTGAAGACAACAAGAGCAGGGTTTAGAGCTACTATGCTAGGATCGACAAAACAAGATACCAAACAGTGCAATAAGCAAGAAATGTTACCAGAAAGCGAGAAACAAATATAAGCGCGGGGGGGAGACATATATAAGTGCGAAGGGAAAACATGACACAAGTGTGAGGGGATCAAATCACATAACGTGATGCGGAGGGTCTCAGTACGTGAGGTGCAGGACGCGATAAATGGAGCTAGTAGAAAACAATATACTAGCTACTGACTGTTAACAAATGACAATGACAAAAGGATAACGAAGGCTGACATCTCAGCGCTCGGCCTCGGGATTCGTGCAGTTCTAGTCGTAGTTTCATGCTTAGGAACGAAAATATATGTAATAAAGGAAAACAAAAACATATCGATATGCATGGGCACGAGTCGACGCCGAAACGTCGCTCGTCTGTCCAGTGTCCCCCATTTGGACGACTCGCCTTTATGATGGCCATTATACTGTCGCACAGTCTCACCAGATGCCATTTCACAGAGCCAGGCAGTATGATCCGAGGACGCTAAGAATTGAGTGGATATATAAGGCTATTATAGCGATATTATAGAGTCGACAGGTGAATTTCTCAAGATAAGCTGAATCAGCACTCAGCGGAGCCTCAAGCTTCAAGGCCTCATCGAAAACCTCATCGGATCTCGAACGGCGAGACGAATCTCGATATCATCCATCCAAATCCAAATGAAATTAGTAAAGCGTTCCACAAGTGTTCCTTGGGTCGGCACCTAATTAACGTGTCTATAGGTTTCCTTCACTGTAAGCGACCTCGCTCATTTCCACACAATCCAACCATTCAGCGGCATATGGGACAAATTAAACACGGCCTTCTTCAGGTCTCCCAGAAAGAAGGACTAGCCTGAATTCCCTATCACCGAGCGAAAGCGTTGAAGTAATCTGCATGCAGACTCGTATAAACAGGATCATGAGTCAATGACGAGACGATTCACGTCATGCAGGATTCCCGCATTTTGCACCATAGACAACAAGTTCAGTGGCTTATCGGTAAGATGCAGGGATTCGACATGTTGCTGCTATGGGTAAGGCTTGGACTGATACTATCGCCACACACGAGAGCAGACCTGCCATGAAAGGTGTGTCTTTATTTTGGCGCCTTGGTCATGGAACCAAAAACCATTACCGGGAACGTGAACTTGGCCTTGTTAAGTAGCAGCTTTGCCGCCTTGAAGCAATCTATCGTAACTGTTATTGTTCCATCAGAGGCTGAGGCCTCAAATTTAGTGCGGCGACAACTACGACCGTCTAATTTATGTAACACATGTTTTACAACACACTTGCTGTGGTGTCGATCTCGTTGGACATACTGTGCAATCGTGATGCTACGTAAATATTACGAGGATAAGTGTCATTGTAGCGGTCGTAGCAACTTTAGTATAGAATTAGATTTCCTGATTTAGCGATTCTATAATGCATTGCCACGCGACCTTGGAAGGCAGATCCCAACAGATTGATTGATCCCAGGATCTCCTCGACTAAAGTGCAAGAAATCGATCGCAGATATAAACGGATGAGTTACATGTGCGACGAGACGAATGAATACAGTACTAGTGATGCGATGATCCTGTAGGTCCATGAATGTGGGATGTGCAATAAATAACTCTAAGTGGGCTCTACTATAGGTTGTGAATCTCATTGGTTTGCTTTTACAAGGCCGGACACTGAACGTATTATTAGAAAATGACATCACTTAGTAGCTGTTTGCGAATGGGTGCTATGATAGGTGAGGTAAGAGTAGGAAGTAGTTTAATCACCCTGCTTAGTTTTGTAGCCATGATCAGACCATTTGATAGAAGGAAGTCAGCTGTTCCTCGAATACAGCATGGTCCCGGCTTACAGGTCTGCAATTGGAAGAAAAAAATAGAACACTTCTCATTCCGAACAGCCTGTTATGAATCGGCGGAGGACACCCACAGTAACTGTGCGTGGCCTTCCCCATCTACCTTCACCACCACAATCTGGGTACCCTATATGATGACTCATGAGAAGAATGTTTTCTGGAATGATGTAGTATTCCTACATCGGCATTATGGTTGGTGGCCTGCACAGTATTGTACTTGATTTCACCGCCAGATGCCCAGTAGAAGACTCGAGTGCCATTCTAAGAGTTCGGTCAGGATGAATGTCAAAGTCAGGTAGGATGCAGCTTACTGGGAAAGCGTTCATGGGCAAAACAGTAGAAACCACACACAAACGTTGAGTTTGGAGAAGCTGGAGGCTGAGAGAAACATGATACCGTCCTCCTGTTTTACAGCAGCGCGTCTGTATGCAGATTACTTCAACGCTTTCGCTCGGTGATAGGGAATTCAGGCTAGCTCTTCTTTCTGAGAAACCTGAAGAGGGACGTGTCTAATTTGTCCCATATGCCGCTGAATGGTTGGATTGTGTGGAAATTGGATGAGGCAGAACTTAAAATCGCCTGCCCGTTGAAAAGGGTAATGAGGGTCTAAGAATAGAGTTTGCGGTTAGCTTATGTAACAATTCGTATGCACGGGGCTCAATATTCAATATTCAATTGTCATACTAGAGCAAATACGCACTGCAGGTAAACTGCCACATGTTGAATAGTTCCACTCCATCAACCAGTGGCGTAAACGACAAAGGGTCGCAACTCACCCTACTCCGGATCGTCAGGGAAATGGACACAGTCTGGGGGCAAGTCTGTCACAGACTCCGGGGGTATGGGCAGCCGCTCGTCGTCTTTAGGTACCTCAGCTTCTTAGACCTCATTCATTCAATGACCCTTTTCAACGGGTAGGCGATTTTAAGTTCTGCCTCATCGGATTCTCGAACGGCGAGCTACGAATCTCGATATCATCCGTCCAAATCCAAATGAAATTAGTAAAGCGTTCCATAACTGTTCCTTGGGTCGGCACCCAATTAACGTGTCTATAGGTTTCCTTCACTGTAAGCGACCTCGCTCATTTCCAATTTCCACACAATCCAACCATTCAGCGGCATATGGGACAAATTAGACACGGCCCTCTTCAGGTTTCTCAGAAAGAAGAGCTAGCCTGACTTCCCTATCACCGAGCGAAAGCGTTGAGGTAATCTGCATACAGAGACAGGAGGACGGCATCATGTTTTTTTTGTCCTAGAAGCTCTGCATGCCGCCGGTTCTTGGCCTACATGTTATCTTTAGTTGTCGGCCTTCATGGTCGTTTGTGCCAGTCTACGCCACTGCATAAGTCTCCAAACTATGTCTACTTAAGTTTCAAACCATATCCTTGAGTCCCTCCCTCTTACCCAACGGATCGCAGAATGTATTATAACTACTGGTACGTTCGTACTCCCACGTTTCCTTTTGATGTTCATCCCTTGCACAGGCGGAAAGATTCACAGCTATACAAAACATCGCTTGAAGAACGGCTAGGATTTGTCGTTAATGTGTTTCGTCTGTGCTTGTAAACAGTAATGTGCTAATATTTCGCTGTAGGACCTGTTGTTCTCTCAGCCTCGACAGAACTACCTGTCTTCGGTTCCAGAGGATCCCCCGCCCGTGGTTACTCAGCATCGCCAGCATCACACCACGTATGACGGAGACTTAATGAGCAACGACCAGCATGATATCCACGTGTACGATTTCCTTAACGTCCCCGTTTAAGGGAAATTAACACCTTCATTGATAGTGCCACTGGACAGCCTTCGCAGAACGCCTCTTTCAACCATCTCCACTCCAACGATCCGTTTGTTAACAATCCGGAGTCTCCTGGTAACGTTTCCGGATCAAACCCCATTGAGGGTCGTCCTCACCCGGTCCATAACAACCCATCAAAAACGCATACATCTAGCAGCTTGTATGTCTGCAAGTGGAATGATGGTCACGGTCCATGTGACATGACCCTAAATGAACGAGAGATGAAGAACCACATACCATCCCATCTCCCACGTGGGTCTCGTCTCACCCTTCTGAGATGTCAGTGGGAGGGATGCGCACGCCAACGGCCCATGCGCCGAGACACGATCATACGCCATATCCGTCAGATTGAACTCGGAATCAGTCCTCGACGGCAGTAGTAGGTTGCTTCGAGTCGTATCATGGCTAAACTTCGTCTACATCCATAGCCGTATTAATTACGATCGCATGGACTGCCGTTCAATATGAAACCTTTGCTATGTTTCCCTTTTGTATTCATGTTACTCCATGCCTTCGTCCTTAAAAATACATCTTAATCAATTATATGTCCGTCCGGTGCCGTCATTCTCGAGATTCTCAGTAATTTCAATCGTGTTCTGAAGACAACAAGAGCAGGGTTTAGAGCTGCCATACTAGGATCGACAAAACAAGATACCAAACAGTGCGATAGCAAGAAATATTACCAGAAAGCAAGAAACAAGATATAAGCGCGGGGGGGAGACATATATAAGTGCGAAGATGACACAAGTGTGGGGATCGAATCACATAAAGTGATGTGGAGGGTCTCAGTACGTGAGGTGCAGAACGCGATAGACGGAGTTAGTAGAAAACAATATAGCTACTGGCTGTTAACAAATGACAATGACAAAAGGCTGACATCTCAGCCTCGGAAAAGAACTGAGATCTTCGTACGGCTCTAGTCGTAGGTTTATGCTTGTTAGTTTAGGAACGAAAATATATGTAATAAAGAAAACAAAAACATATCGCAAGGGCATGAGCCGGCGTCAAAACGTCGCTCGTCTGTCCCTCATTTGGTTTGCGCTCGCACAGCCTCATTCTCCAGATCTCTCTATCTCGGATTGTTCGGACTCTGACAGAGGGTCTCAGAGACAGCACCAAAGGCTCCTTATGATGAGGGTGCGAGAGACACCCATGGTGTCCTAAAGACCGTCAGACCATGAGAAGCACTAAAAAGTGCTGCCAATAGTGGCCGAAGTAATTGTGATTAACAGGGCTGTGAATGTGTGACGGAGTCTAGCCATATATGACCCGAAGCGACCTTGTCCGGCGTCGGGGTTTGATCTCGAGGTGAATTTGACGTATGTGGCGAATGGCTGTGTCTCGGCGCAAGAGGTTTTGGAATGTACATCCCTCCCATTGACATTTCATACGGGTGCGACCAGGCGGTGGAAGATGGGATGACGATACGTGGTGAGCGATCTCTCCTTCATTTAGGATCTCGTTGCATGGGCCCTGACCATCATTCCACTCGCAGAGCAACAAGAGGTTAGATGCGTGCAACTCTGATTTGATGCCATGGACCGGGTGATGATGACCCTTAATGGGGATTGATTCGGAAACGTCTCCAGAAGACCCCACACTGTTAGCAAATGGAGCGTCGGAGAAAGGAGAGGGGGAATGGTTGAAAGAGGCGTTATGTCCAGTAGCACTATTGAGTGAATTAATTTCCGTTAAACAGGGACATCGAGGGAATTGTACTTCTGAGCATAGTGCTGATCGTTCTCGAGAAACGAGTGCGTCAAATCACTTGAAAAGAGACTACTACTTTGAGAAAACCCTGGAAGGGTAGACACTTGATCGTTTCTCGCCGAGTCTCTGCCATACATAAGGTGACGCTGAGTAACCATGATTGGGAAATCCCCTGGAGACCAAGTCAAGGAGTAATCCTGTTGAGGCTGAGAGGACGACGGGCTCTATAGCAAAAATATTAGCATACTACTGTTTACGGGCAGACGAAACATACATCATCGACAAATTCCAGCTGTTCCGCACCCGATGCCTTGGATAACTCCGAATCCTGCCGCCTATGCAAGGGATCAACACCGACAAGAAACATCGGAGTATGGACCCACCAGAAATCATAATATATTGTGCGATCGGCTGAGGAAGATTCGTGCGATTCTGTTTGTTTGTCATGGACCAGGCGAGAATGTCCTTCATTGCTCGTCGTGTCTCCCCCATACGTAAGGTGATGCTGAGTAACCACAGTTGGGGGATCCCCTGGAGGCGAAGGTAAACGGTAGCTTTGCTGAGGCTGAGAGAACGACGAGCCCTACAGCAAATATATATCAGCTCACTACTGTTCACAAGCACAGACGAAATATACCTTAGCGACAGATCCTGGCCGTGCTGCACACAATGCCTTAGATAGCTCTGAATCCTGCCGCCTATGCAAGGGATCAACACCAAAAAGAAATGTCGAAGTACGGACACACCAGAAATCATAATCCATTCTGCGCTCCGCTGGGGAAGCGACTGGACATCGGTTTTTTTGAAAAAGGGAATAACTTATATAGCGGTATAAGCTGGCATGGATGACCATGAAGGACGACAACCAAAGACCAAAGATAGTTTGTAGGCCAAGAACCGGTGGCATGCAGGGCCAGCTAGGACAAGAAGGGAACAATATTGATACGTGCAGGCCAAAGGCCAGAGACTGGCAGGAATGACCATGAAGGACGACAACCAAAGACCAAACTTGTAGACGGCTTGTAGGCCAAGAAGGGAGACAATATTGATACGCGCAGGCCAAAGGCCAGAGACTGGCATCTGTGACTCGGAGACTTGCGCCCCCAAGTAACGCTTGAAGCGAACTTTATCGGTAACACCTGGAGAGGATCTCGAAATGTGCCCCCGATGATGCGGAATATGGTGCGCCATTTCATTTAGATACGCTGGCCATAATGTAAGTTTAACTCTAGCGTTGGCCTCCACTCCCACAAACCATGCGTTTTCATGTATCTTGATTGTGATCGGCCATCTGTGATCCGAGCTGGCCTTCAGTGACCCTAGTTGGCCGATGTGAAGACGCTGCTGACATCCCAAGGAAAATGGTAAGAGATAAGGCATGCCAAAAAACGTTTACATGGCGCTCACCGAAAGTGATATGAAGGCCGAAATATTTTCCATTGCAACCTTCCTGAAACGCAACTTGAATGTACGATTCTGGGCCAAACCTGAAGAACCCAAAATAAACGTTACTGAACCCGGTACAGTTGTCAGATATCATCGTGATTCGGCCTTGTAACAATAAAGGGTCAGTCCAAGGCCATTTGTACTTTCTGTTCAACGGTACCTCGATGATAACGACATTAGTAAGCGTGGAGTGCAGGTAGATAACGACTCGGACATGCATCAGTGTCTTTCTGACTTGCACAGGAAAGAGTAGGAAGGTAGGGGTCTAGGAAATCATGATTTTGATCACACTTATAAGCCCAAGTTCCCAGCACTGCGAAAAAAATACCTGAACAAACTGACGACCAAACTTGGTGGTCTTCGTAGTTGCAAATATAGCACTTTGGCAGGCAGGCCGCTGGGATAGCACTGCACGTGAGGAACACAGCG